TAGCAAACATTAGCAAACGTTTGATGGTTTGCTAATGTTTGCTAAAACGGGACCACCGCTTACATTTCTCCTAGGTCCCGGGTTTTTTTAAAACATCAAGTGTTTTTAGTCTGTGCGAATAAACCCCTTTCTACTGTTGTCGGTCTACGGAGCTGTATTGGGGGTTTAGTTTTGATTAAACCCCTTTTTGGTCGATTGATATGCATACCCTTGGGTTTGGGGTTTGGATCAGGATGTAAACCCTTTGTGATCGAGTGAGGACCCTTACTCGACCAAAAAGGGTTTAATCAAAACTATATAAACCCCAAGTACAGCTCCGTAGACCGACAATATTAGAAAAGGGTTTATTCGCACAGACTAAAAAACCAGCCGATCCATCCTCTATAAAGTGTTTGTGGGTAGCTTGATGCATAGATTCTTCCTTTGCCCACTGCGTCAGGTGGTCTCCTTACGCCACGCCGGGGCGGTGGATTTGAGGTGTGGTTTGGTGGATTCCACAAAGGACCTATACAAATGAAAGGACCGCAGTGGACCGGCCCGGACCGCCCGGACCGACCCGCAGTGGCCCGGCGGTGGCCCGGCCCGCCCGGACCGGCCCGGACTATCCATGAATCTTTGGCACACGAGGAGAGGCGCCAACGGTTCAACGATCCCGTGGCTTTTTTCATGCTCCAATTTGCTCTCCGTGCTTCCAAGCCCTGTCGGACTTCACTGGGTCCCTACGCCATGCCATGCCCTGTACAAAAGCTTCCCGGCACGGCGAAGCACCTGGAAGCCTTGGCGAAATCGCCGATGGCCGAGGGGCCGAAGCCATTTTCATGGCCCGCCCAATGGTGGGCGCCTGAACTTGCCACTTTGGCATCAAAAGAACCGGTGGACCTCAACGAGCTTCAAATGGCAACCTTGGAGTGCAAAATGGCCAACACAAAATTGCCGAAACTATGGCCAAAGCATGTAGCGCCAGAAAGGCACCAAAGGACTCCTCTTTCCCTTGCCCAAATGACCTCTCTGAGGTGCACACAAAAGCATCTACTGACTCCTTGTATATTAGATGAGATCAAGCAACTTGATGCACTGGTATGAAACACACATTGATTCCAATTCTTCGCTGGTAGTTTCAGATTGAATTTCAGCGCTAGTGTGCGCACGCCTGGTCGACACTGAAGGGGCAGTCTGTGAGTCTCCTTGCATTGGCCACTGAGAATGAGTCTGGCCAAATCGTTGCAAAGCAAGAGGCAGTGCGTGCTACAGCGTACTCTTGGGAGTTGACACTCAAGCAGCATTGAAAACCTGATGGTTTGAAGGGCCCAAGGTGTCCAATGGGTTGATGCAATAAATCACTGGACAGTGTCAACCCCAGTCACAACCTGCCACGCCCGGCCACGAAAGGATCCATGCCCACCTCTCGATCCGACATTGCATCGGCTTGAGGCCGGCGCTACTGCCACTGTTCAGCTTGCTCCAGTTGAGCTGATATTCGTGCCGTGAGTGGCACCACTGGACCACGCAAACACCCTAATCGCAGCCTGAGGCTGTCTCTCTACCAGAGTCTGTCTGGCACCAGCTTGTCCAAATCGGCAGGATGAGTTGAAATGAACAGACTACGGCGAGCTTTGGTGAGCTAGCCAAAGAAAGCCATTGGCTTGTTACAGTGGCCACTGAAAGTGTGAGAACCTAGAACTTCATCCTGCCAACAACGAGCTGGTCTCCAAAAAACCCTATCTATAATCAAACTAAGAACACACCTCCCGCCCAGGCAAGCCTGGCTCGCGACTGATTGTACTGAATGGATGACTCTAAGTCACACCAAGACTCAAACAAATATCCCTCAATAGGGGGTGCACCATCCAATCCAACGATGACAAAACATTACCAACACGTTCACTGCGACATCTTCAGAGCATGCAGCTTTTGGCTTTTGCTCCGTCTTTTCAACTTTTCAATGATGCATGGGAGAGAACACCCAAGGTCGAGGGAGGAACACCAGGACACTAGGTTGTATGAACTATGCAGCTATGCACTCAGGATTGTGCAACCTCCCAATTTGCAAATGTCCTAGCATGACAGCTTGACCAAACAAAAGAAACAACAAAACATGTGGCCATATGTGGCCATTCAATAGTGCGTTTTGGGGGGTCGCAATCAACCCCAGTATACCCCAGTTATATCATTTGGCCGCTGAATTGTGTTCCTTTCTTCACCCCCTCATGAAAAGATTTAGCCTGGGATCCCTATGAGCCGCTTATGAAAAAAAGGAACTATTTCTACAGCTTGGTCTGGTTGGTCTGTGAGACCTGGAGTTGATCTGGGATGAGGTACCAAGGTGATCGGCCTTGGCTCCAACATGCACCGACTGGAGGACGGAACTGTGCCGGCTGCATGACCTGCCTTGGTGCCTTGGCTGGGAAAACTGGTCTATCCGCCCACTGGGCGGAAGGCGAATCACCGAATCACCGAAAAGCGTCTACAAGTCTAGGCTATGGGTCCTATTGGCTTGGAATGCAGTCCGTTCTTGCATTTCACTTCAGCGTGAAACATACAGAACATTCCAAAAATGCTGCAACCTCACTATATAGAACTACGAAGTCTTTCCAACATGCGGCTGATATGTGCAGCAATGGGGGGAGGAAATGGACAAGATCAAATGATGTGCAATGCATCATGCATTCCATGCGCCAATCTAGGGCAACAATTGGTCACATCCCATGTTCTGAGGAATGCTGCTGAGCTATCATAATTGCGCTATCTAGAGAAGCAAGTTTAGGGCCCGAGAGCAGGCCCTTGGCAATAGGTTTGGCTAAATCACATGCCAATGAAAGTGGAGAGAATGTCAAAGCTCAAAGCCAGGTTGACGTGTCAACGTCTTCAACGCGATTTCTTCTTCAGCTCCACTCTGCGCAGGCTACGATTCAAATAATAAAACGGATATGGTCAATTCAATTCAAGCTGGAAAGAGCAACTGGCTAAGCTTCCCAGCTTTGTCAAAAACTGGGTTAGCTGGCGCTTCCAGCTAACCGCTTATCGTTTCAGGCTGTGAAGCGTCAAGAAGTTCGACGGTTTCAGGCTGCAGCCGCAAGTTGGCCAAAATGTCTGCAGAAATGGCAGGGTGTGTTGCTACGTGTATCTTCTTGTCATTGCTTTTTGCTCCAGGTGATCCTCTTGATTCAGACTCTCAGTCTAATCATGTTTTTTGTTGATTTCTCTGCCCATTTAGCCTCTGCCTTCCGCAAATGGTGAATTAGTCGCACAGATCAAATCGATGCACGACTCAATCTGCGACCGCAAAGCACGCGCTTTGCACAGTTGCCTGGGCAGCGGACTGCCTTCAATTCCTCATTCATTTCCTCAAAAAACAAAACAATCACCAAAGCAGTAATTTAGTGGAGACTTAAAGGCAAAAACTGGCTTTCAACCGAAGGCTAGTGGTCGTTGCCAAAACATTCTCAGTCGAGGCTGCAAGAAAACAAAAATGCCTTTGGACTGAGCGAGGGGCAATGCGAGATGTCCAGATGTTGGTTGGAAGCCCAACATGCAGCGCAGTACAAAAAAGTAAAGGAGTGAACACCACAAGCTATTGATCCTACAAAACACCCCTCTTTTTTTCTCCAGTGAAGGCCCCTCTCTACCAGCCAGAAGGGTGATCAGATTTCATGAGACTAGCTGAGGTGTTGCACGACTCGCTTTGCCCTTCGAAAAACCTTGGCAGCATGCCAGGGTCCACAAAGAAACCACGCAAAGAGTGTAATGTATCCAGTATAAACTGCGGCCCTTGTAGCAAAAGCACACATCCACACCAAAAGCAAGAACTCTCACTTCAATAGTCCAGGAACTATGAAACACAACGAATCTGACATAAACCAAGAAAAACTTGTTTGTGCTGATAGGACACGGATGAGAAAGCAAGGCGTAGGCTGACCAACGCTGGTTTGGCACATACCTTACTTGGTTCTCATGACTGTGATTTGACGTTTCTACTTGTTTTGCGTATCTAACGACTTCTCATGTGGTGTGCCAATAGAGTCCAATAGAGGCAAAGGGCTGCAGCATAGCTCCAAGCATTTGCTGCAGAAAAGTGTGGTGGAAGGGGCACGCCTCCAAAACTTTCTGGAAGTTGGTATCCTGTGACAACAAGCAATCTTCATTGCTGTTCATATTCAAACCCCTCTCCCGTTTCCAAGACAAATCCATTAATTCCTTGCAGCTCCAATCGCTGGCTGGTCAAGATCTCTCGGTTGGACACGTGCAACAGGTATCAACAGGTTGACATGTGCAAAGCCTCTGCAGACTACGGACTGGTCAAAATTCTGTGTGTTTGCAAAGGTCAGGATCGAGTCTCTCCAAAATAGCTGCGCTATTAGTGTCTTGGAGGTTTGGAGAGTAGCCCATTCCGCGGTCGCCTACGTCATCCACTTTTTCAACGGTACAACGTCCGTCTCCTCCCAATGTGGGAAGCTGCGGGAGAAGTGTCCCATTTGTTCAAGACCAGGCCAGGTCGTGGCAGCGGGCGTGCCCTTCATCCGGAATATCTTGAACAGCCTAATCAATGAAAGGCACATGAGGCACCAACTTTCATGAAAAAGCCCTTGAACTCACTGAGGTCCGCAATTTCACTCGCCTCTCTTTTTGGATGATCACTTGCAAGTGCCAGTTTCCACCCTCCGAGCCACGTGTCAATCTCAGAGTCACCCGGGAACATGGGCCGATTCGTCGCCATCTCCGCCAGAATGCAACCCAAGGACCAAATGTCCACCCCCTGACCGTACCTTAGCGGTAGAACGACAGCGACGAAGTGTCCCCTACCGTCGCATTCGGTCAGTTCTCGGTTTCGCACTGTTGGCACTGTTGGCACGTGGCCGTCGCATTCGGTCAGGCCGCGTGAACAGACGGAAAAGCGCTAAGCTTCAAACATGCACTGGCCAGAGTCCATGAGGATCAACTCGGGCGCACGGTACCAAACAGTGACCACGAACTTGGTCAGTGGCTTTTGGCCTGAGTTGCGAAGGGAATTGACTCCACAGATGTTAAAGAGTTAAGAGAATGGAGAGGCGGGGCAGAAACACAGAGACACGGAGAAGACACCAAGGGGAGGAGTAGAGTAGATAGAGGAGAGGAAGAAAAGAACAAGTCACAGAGAAAAAAACACATAACATAGAAGGAACGCGGAAGGAGAGGGTAGAGATGAGAAGACGAAAGAAGAGATAACTGACATAAGAAAACACACAATACCCCCATCAATACTGAAAAAGCCAATAAGAGGAGCAACAAGAGAGGGGGCAGCAAAGAGTCAGAATAGCGTGAATAGCTGAGCAAAAGGTTTCAAGGGAAGGGGGCGAGGAAAAAAACACCAACAATGAGCAAAAAAGGAACATTAGGACAGGAGCGCTCAGTAAGAACAGCAACAACAGCGACAGTTCCACTTGCGCTGTGGAGTTTATGTTGCAATTCCATCCCCTGGCTGTCCCCTCGCTTTGCGCCGAGAAGCAGCGAAAAGGCCACAGGTAGCGCCGTGAAGCGAGACCAAAATCCGCCAGCTTCAGGGTGCCTCCATCCACCAAGATGTTCTGAGGCTTTAGATCTCGATGGAGGTAGCCCTGACCTCGGTCGGTCGGAGACCTTGATTAAAAAAGGCCCTAGACGGTCTGCGCAAAACGAAGAAAAAACACGTATATAATATACCATAGAACATCATAGAACCCATTTGACATCCTTTTTGATAGGAAAACGCCGTATTCTCGACAGTTGATCCCCGAAAACCGGGGTCACTCAGGTTCTATATAGTACGAATACTAGTACGAGTATGATCACTAGTATGATGATCCTTTTCTTCTGGTCCATCGTTTCTTTCTGGCACATGTTGAAAACGGTCTAGGAGAGGCAATTTGGTGCAATTTGTATCCAGCCTACTGTGTGCCATGCCTGCGTGGCAAAATGGTTGATGTTTGCCTTAAAGCCTCCGCTCCAACATCCATCTAAGTCTTCCTTTCCACACATGTTGCTGCCATGATGCGATGGCAATGGCCCAGCCCCAATAGAATCTGACGGAACCTTTGCCGAGTTCCGAAATTCCGCGAACCTTTCCTGCCTGGGCCTCCACATACATGCAAAGAAACCACTTCTGCACGTGTGCGCAAGCACATGGAACACAAATGGACAGGTCACTCTAACGGGCCTATTTGGTGTGCATGAACAAGTACGGATAAGCGGCGCTGGCTTCAAGTCCGCAAAGGGGCCTTTCAAAACTCTCCTGGCAAGAAACCTGGTTCCACTTTGACTGGGTGAGGGATTCTCTGCAAAGAATGATGATACAGTGCAGTTTAATGCAGTATATAAGAAAATCTGCTCCTCATCTCGATTTCTCGTGCTGTGCGAGCATGCACAGCATGGTCAGAAAAAAGGGTGTGTAGACAATGTGTCTTCTGTATCCCAACACGCCTATATAACAATATATAGACCGCCGAAGGAGGCACCTGACAAAACAACATCACACAGCGACACAGCAGCAAATCAAAGGTGGGACCAACTGCAAATCAACGGATCTGACCTTCCACCATTGCAGTCCCTGAAAAGAAAGCGGCCTCCCAACAAAACCCGCCCATGTTCGGTCGAAGTTTGTTCGGTGTCCTCATGTACTGGGACAGGTCGAATGGCATGAACTCCAGGATCAAGTGCACCTGCACCACGAGTGGATTCGCCTTTTTTGACTGAAAACAACTGTGGGAAACCGGTGGAAAAAGAACGGTCACCCGATGTCACCCCGTCAGCTGTGACGGAAGAAAGCTGACCAAAAAAACTAACATGGGCACCGGATGGTACCGGTGCTAAACCAGTGCTCCACGTGAAAATTTAAGATTTTACAAACGCTATGACTATGGAAAACAATATATATATATATATGTATATACCCTACAGATCAAAGCCTACGTTTAACCTGGGCAAGGATTGTGTCTAAGTTTGACTTGGTTAAACTTTGTCGTTCTGGAAGACAGCGTGATTGACCGTGATTGGCTCAATCGAAGATTCCACTGATGGACAAACATCAAGGTTCCACTCACACCGTGATCGGCGTGAACGGGCGTGAAGGCAAGTTAAACATGGCTGTTTTGTTATGACTAAGTTTTTCTGGCGTCGTTGATCCCCAGGGTATATGTATATATATATATATATATTATAGTGTTTCAATGCTTCAAACTTTAACGTTTTGATCACACCCAGCGGATGCTTAACTTCCTCAAACATCACTATGGCAACTGAACATCACTGGAGCTGCCCCAAACTCCCAAGAGCACACATCTGCTTTCGGAGCACACTCTCCGGCACGGCATGCACGTCGAGGAGTTGTACCACGTTGGGATGCTGGCAGGCCCTGCAAAGGTTTGCAAAGACATCCACTACGAATCAACACTGAAATAGTTACAAGATTCCAATCTACCTCTGCAGAACGCCATTTGTATTTTTATTTTTGAAATGAGACTTCTTCGGCGCAACCACTCTGGAAACGAGTGCTGCTTTTGGAGGGTGCTGGAGGCAGAATCCAATGATTCAACCTGGTTCTTCCCGACCTTTTGACCCCCTGGTTTGAGGTTACTTAGGCCTGTCACAGGTCACCTGGGACTCTGCAGACTCCAAAAAGATCACTTTGAAGAAGCTGCAACACCCTTCAGCCATCAGGGGCCTGAGCGCCGAGATCTCCCGGAGCGACCAGCTGGACAGGCCCTCCTGGTGAGACCAACCAGCGCCCGTCTGTGAGAACCGGTCCATCCGACTAAGACCTACATCGGTCGACCGGTTCATCTGACTCAGTCCACAGGGGGCATGATGGACGTTTTGGCCCCATGGGCCTTCCGGCGGACGAACGACAAATCGTCAAACAAATCGAATTCTCGATGGTTTTTGTTGGCGTCCACCTGGTCGACCCAAGCAAACTGCAAATGGAACCTGATTTGGGAGCATTTGGGATATCATGCGGCATCATCAGCGGAAAAAAGCAGGAAAGCTCTCCTCGATCACTTGCGAAGAGCTCTTGACTGCCACAACTTTGCCAGTGACCTGTGACTTGTTCCACCCTTTTCATCACCAACTGTGTGACCTGCATTTGACGCAAAGCAACATGCAGCCCAGCAACCACATCTTTCATCCGCATGACCTCGCCATAATTTCCTCCACCAATCTTCTCCAACGGCGCGTAGCGGCCGCCCAAATGCTCATCGGCCAATGGCGTCTCAACCTGGAGGTAGGTGCGTTTTCAAAAATCACCTCTATTGATTGACTGCCACTCTTGCTTCCTTTGCTTCCAAGTTCTCATTGCACTTGACTTGTTGACTCAACTTGGGGTCTGAAAGCGCCACACCAACTGTGACATTGACAGCAAGCCTGAGAAGCTCACAATGTCTGAAAACACGTGTGCTAACCAGGACTGACCGTCGGGGTGGTGAATGGACGGTCACCCCTTTTCATCAATCCTCTTCGCAGCCCATCAACTAGGAGCAAGGACGCTACTAGGGGCTCCTGGCATCGCTACTAGGAGCAAGAAGCTACTAGGAACAAAGGGCATCGCTACTAGGAGCAACTTCCAAAACCGTGGCCAGCTAAGGAGTCTCTTCGCATCTCTCCCCGTTGCGCTCCTTCTTGCGCGGGTGGCCGTGCGGCGCCATGGGCGGCGGGGCACGGTGCTTGGGGCCATGGGGGTCGAAGCCCAAAATGCCTGCAGAGCTTTCGCCTCCGGAGCGCTCTGTCCGTCACATGACCCGCTCGGCCGGGTCCGTCTTCGAAGCAGGTGCTGGAAACGCGCCATATATATGACCCACTCGTATCACAAACTTCTATGATCTTTGAAGATCTTTAGTGCACTTGATCTGTGCAACTTCTGCAATGCGCCGGTTGGCACTTCCTGGCACAACAAACGAGCCACTGACGTGCCATGGAACATGGCCATCGGTGGACCGTTCGTGGTGACCGACCGTTCGTGGTGACCACTCCCAAACAAACAGGTGACCCAGTGGGACATGGCCCCTGGAAAGACCCTCTTCTACTAGCTTCTTGTTACTACTAGCGATGCACCTGTTACTAGTAGCGCGGCACTTGTTACTAGTAGCTTTTTATACTCAACCAACTGGGGGGTGATGTGTTCACTTCCATGTTGAGAGAGGGTGCTCCAAGTTCAATCTGATCACTGGGACAGTTTTCGGGGCTCATTTTTGGTTGGGCATGGGGAAAATCCTGCAGAACCGCCTGGTACAAGTACAGGATCTGCCAAGGGACCGAGGAGGCACGCTTGGCCGGGCGAATGGCAAAGATGTTGAAGCCCTGGCGAGTTGGTTCGAACTCGGAGCCCTGGATCGAACTACATCTCGCCCCAACCACCCCCCCAATAACAGGAGTGCATATGCTTTTACAGTCAGTGGTTGAACAGAATACCAAAAAGGTGTTCAACCACTGACTGAAACTCATTGGAAATTCATTGGCGGATGACGGATACATTACCCTCAAACAATGTGGATGAAAAGCTTCTGTGAGTAACACCGTCTTCCCGACCAGAACACTGCATGGGACTGGAACATATTCCTACGTTGACCCCTTTTCAACCACACCAATGTGCAAGTGTCTGGTATTGTAGACTCCTGCTGGAACTTCTGACAGGGCCCGTCAGTCCGCCGATCTGGCCTCATCAATTGGCCCGTCATGTGGGACGTTCCACCTGGGTGGTGTGTTTTTGTGTGTGGCTACCGTGGACATGTGTAGTATAGTATAGATAGATAGATTTAGTATATCATATATTATGCTATTCTTTTCCATTATTGCTCTCAAAAAAATGTATATTTCAAACATTCCCAAGTGCGAAAAGCACAGAGCATACGGCCACCCAAAACGACGTGTGCACCGCAGCTGCGCCCCAGGCTGGGAAGCTGGGGGCGTTCCAGCAGTGCAGCTCGGATGGTAAGCCCAAACCTGATCACCGCCCACCTGTGCATCCAGCGGAAGGGTCGACCGGAAGGAAGAGTCGGAAGAAGATCCAGTCCAACACATCTGAAGACATCGGGAATTCATGAAAAAGACGTGTACAAGCCATCTGCCCAAGTGTCCAAAAGGTCATTTTGGTCGCATCTGTCGCATATGGAGGGGACATCTTAAGAGACTTGATTCGCGAGAAGCGCACGATGTCCAGCCAGCACATATTCGATACGGGGAGTTACCATGGAAGCGGTTCTCTTACAAAATGCCCGGCACACGCAGCTGAGGCGTGTAGATAAGCGACACAGGACCAATCCAACCCAGCTGGTACATAAAGGGTGAATCCAAAATAACCAAAGCAATGAGCCCCCGGTCCAACCAAAGACCATCCAACAAAAGGTTGCCGCAAAGAATTGAAACGGTCATCCTTTTTCGAAGGCCTGACCGTCAAGCAGGCAGTTGACCAAGCCGGTCAACGTTCCAAGGCACCCATCGGATCCGAAGACAAATATCTCCGAAACACTCCATGTAGGAATGCAAATTGAATAAATGGATCATACCTGTCTGGTCGTCCACGAAAACCGCACCTTGGGGCCAATCCACCAGCCACAAAGCTCAGGCCCGTCTCGCTCATCCCAGAAATAGATCAAGACCTCAACGGTTCCGTTCCCCTCCACAAAGCCGAACAAAAACCCTCAAAACATCTAAGAACATCTAAGAACCCTTTCACAGTAAACACCCGTGAAAAACAGGTGTTGACTTTACCAACTCATGAGGGGTGTCCTTCTCACCAACTCAAAACACCCAATTCATAGGATCGGTTGATCTGCTGGGTGCTGTATATACATTGTTGGTTGGTCAACCAAATGATCTGAGCCGCAGCCATTGAAATGTTGGACAAATTTTGAGTGGAGTTGATGCAATAGTGAGAATCATGAGGAGTTCAAACCCAAAGCTACATAACGATCGATGTCTTTCCTGGAGTATATCACCCTTGTGGACATAGATCAACAGTATACATTTAGAGACACATCTAATTACAGTAAAAGCAAGTCTCGTTGAGAAAATCCAAAAAATATCAACAGGGAAATTGGAATTACAGGCTTGGCAGCGAAAAACAACTCGGCACCTATACTATGCTATCAGTCGAGCGTGCGAACAACATATATTGTTACTGTCATACTGTTATCATGATTCTATTTCTTTTCTCCGCGTCGCAGGCCACGCTCAAGAGGGGGGGGCCGGGGGGCCGGGTATGGCACCAGGGGCAAGCTCCGCAGTCCATTCTCAGCGGCACCAGCACCCCCCCCCAAAATCGCACAATAAGATTAAAACATATTAAAACCATCAAGTCTAGGAATGGACAATATCAAACGTTCTTGTTAAAACCATGCTTGGGGGCACAAGCACCCCTCTCCCCCAAAAAAGACACAAACACACGCACACACAGATTTAAAACCATCAAGTCTAGGAGGGCCCATCCACGAGGGCTCTCGAGCAAGGTGCAATGGGAGCACGGCGGTCTCGAATCCGATGCCGGAGCATCTGTAAACTCCACATGAAACTGCAGTGAGTTGGGCCTTCCAAAGAGGAGAGGCGAACGAAGTGGACGAAGCAAAACTTCAGAATGATTCACTCAGGTGCCCAGTGGGGCCGCGAACCACGCATATAAATATATATGATAGTACAAAGGGAGCTTTATCCCATGTTTCCAGCGCTTCTCAGGTTCCAATCCCACCGCGGCCAACAAGAGCCAGGTTGCATCCAGCCCCTTCGATTTCTCCTGCGCAACAGAAATCGAAGCTCGTGGATGGGCTCAGTGAGTTCTGTCACTAGACCGTCTCTGCCGCTCCAAACATGGTTTGGGAGGGGACAACTGTCTTGGAGCCCCAATCCTAGCAAGAAGCTACTAGGTTGGAGGCCATCGCTACTAGTAGCAAGGACGCTACTAGTTCGAAGTTATATGATGGAAACAGTTAACATCCAGCCCTCCAGCAAACCTTGACACGTCATGAATTCCCACGAGTCACACTCCCAGTGGGCAGGGGCCCAATTGGAGCAAACGAGGGAAACCAAGTCGTTTCCCAGGTGACTTGGGGTTCAAAAAGGAATTGGTTCCTCATTATCATCCAACAGGTTCTCTCACGCGTTGGACCTTGATGAGTTATTCCGATGGTGGAGTCCTATCCCTTTATTGAACAAAACAGTGGCGGTCACCATATGTCACCATAAGAAACCTTGACAGGCACCCCCTTTTTGCAGGGACCAAGGTCCCTGCTCAAAGATTCATTCAACAATCTCTAAAATGAAATATTGATAAATATTGTACTGTAAATGTTCAATCCCACATAAGTCAGGGGAAGAAGTATAAAAGTTAAGTGTTCCCAAACCTACTCTCTCTCTCTCTCTATCTGGATCCATTTGATTATTTATCTTTTTTGAAGGGGAAACATTCGGTGTAAGTCCACATAGACCTCCTCTCCAGCCTCTCCTTGCGTTTATAGACCACCTTCCCGTGGTTGCTCGTGTCCGGGACGTACTCGCCGGCGATAATGCCACTAATGGTCACATCCTGGGATGTGAGGAGTGGACGGATCTGAGTGGGACAAGGCATGTGAGGAAGGGTTTGACGGATCTGAGAAGAGGCAGGACGGGCTTTGGGGGAAGTGGGCCCGCCCAGATTCTTTGGTCAGTTTGGCTTGGCATCGGGATCTGCCTTGTTCTATCTCTCCTTGTCACAGAAACAGCAGTTACATGCTCTGTGATCACAAAGGGGTCCCCCGTGATCGGTTGTTTTGCTGTGATTTGCCCGTCGGCTTCACTTTCATGTCGTCTCACTCTGAATTGCTTGTCGTTGCGTTTCAACCCTCACCTGCCTTGAATCTCCTTGAATCCCTTGCCGCTTAGGGGTTGCTTGACTGGCGAAGCCGCCCAGAACCAGGACAGAATCGGGCCGATTCCGAGCCGATTCGCGGCCAACACCAAGGGTCGGTGCAGCCGCTCACTTTCAGTGGTGGCAGCGGCCCCTTCTTGCCCTGGGGCCGAGGGACGGGTGAGGTGTCGGAAGGTCGCCCCGAGGGACGTGCTCCCGAAGCTTTGGCAAAACGGACTCCCATGCGAAAGAGAGATGGGTTGGCATGACGGTTTGGACTTTGGGTGGTGCTTGGTCGGCTGCATCACATCATTCAGAGATTACGTAGATTCTATGAACAAAAGAAAACCACTTGGGCAGGATGCAGCGCTTCCAGCTTTATATATTGTATCACTTCTTTCGCAGATTCGAGCAGAACAAAGAGGATTGGTACGCGATGGCGCGCCTTGTTTTAAGTTCTTTTTGAAAACACCCTAGACCAACAAAGGTCTAAAACCCCTATAAGCTATATAGACTATCCCATATATATATATATATACCAACCCGCGGTGACGAGTCCTATAAGGTCACTTATATAACTTCTCTTGGTATCAACCCAGCAACTGGACCAGTGGAATGCTGACCGGGGTCACTGAGGCCGATGATTGATGTGGATGGCATACTGGACTGACGGCACGTGCCGTCCTCATCTACATGTCTTTTGCCCAACACATTCTTTGTGGGCAATTTATCGTCCTTCAGAAGGCACGAAGCCACATCCCCCTTGGAATTAAGTGGGGGGAGGAGTGGGTATATTGATTTTGTAATGATAGAATGCTGAATATGACATCCAAAATGACAGGCGGCATGTTGCTTACAAAGATCCTCTATAGAATCGAGGCTCGTAAATTCCTGTGCGTTCTCTATAAAATCAGACTCTCTATGACTCTCTGACATGCCGCCTCCAACCTGGGCAGATCATTCTGGCTAAAAGATGCTGTATTTTGTGATGGTATCATCATCGATGTTGTAGAGGAAGGACTTTCCAATCAAGTTCACAGCTTCTATCTCTAACTGGTCCTCAATGACCCTGTGCAGGTAGTTTAGGGGGAAAGCATGGGAAAGCAATACAGGGGACTTTCAAAGAATGGCCCGGAAGGGTGATCAGTTCTCTTGGGCACCTTCTCTGCAGCCTTCTCGGTTTTGCTCGCCTAAGCAGGGCGCATTCCCAGCGCACGCTGAAGAGCATGCGAAGCTGGGCACTTTGCCACACTCACGGGGCCGTCAACGACCATGTCATCGAAATGTGCCAAATGCGAAGTGATCCAACAGCCTCCAGTAGCGTTATCATCCAAGCCAGCCCAAATGCTGATGCTTGCCACACACCCCTTTTTCTCACATCGCCATCCGCTCACCATTGTTTCGCGGAACACCGGTTTCAACGTCATCCGATCGGTTTTTTTTGTGGGTGTGATGGTGCAAGAAAGGTTGGAGCATGGAACCATTAGATGTGGGAACATGAACCTGATCAAAAACGATCAAAGCCTCTGGATGAACCCAAGTTCTGCCCAAGAGGGTGGAAGTTACTCTCTGAGCAGGAGACAAGTCTTCCAATGTATTCCGAGTACCTCGGGTGCACCTAGAAACCGAGAAGAAAATACTTTAAAAACAACTTTAAGGTTGCCCGCTCTTGCAGCCAGAGTTCACCAAACCTCCAAGCTAGCCACGGGTGAGAGGGGAATTCCCTCCGTCTCCTGGTGTAGAGGATGGCCTTAGGGCCCTTCATTCTCTCCCTCACGTCAGTATGATCAATATATGTCCTTGGATTTCTTTCGACATTTTTCATGAGAAACATTTCCAATAGGACAGTTTTCCAGAACAAGGTCATCAAACACTCCATGGTTCAACCATTTCTAGATTTAACATCAAAACGAGGAACATCAGGATTCCCTTGTGGGCTGCTGAAGTGCCGGGCGCTTCCGCCCGCCGCGGCGCCACGGACCCTGGTTTCCGCCCGTTCCCTTTCTGCCCAGCCACCGGCATGGCAGAAACGCACGGCCGGCTGGACGAGATTGTGACTTACCCGAAGGAAGGAATTGTTTTGGCCTTAGATCTGAGGTTTTGACACTTTGTTGGATGGGATGCATCGAACAAATTGCACTCGATGGATGGTTATCGGTTATCATGGGAAGAACCCCCATTTCCGGACCCTGGATACTGTGCGACCGAAACGGCCAGCGGCATGCCGGTGGGCGCGGGTCGTTCGGCGAGTTCGACGACCGATGCACCCCAAATGCAACGATGACCACAGGGGTCCAGGTTAGTGCATCCAGAAGTAGAGAAGGTAGAAATAGCATGGAATATCATGAAATAGCCAGGAGGTGCCAGGAGCGACTTCTATGGGCAGCAATATTCAAGATGAAGGCTGCCTTAGCTTTGACTTTTGAACCGCTTTTCTAAAAACACTCCATGTGGCTGGCATATTGAAATGCCATCATGATACCCTTTGTCAACCAGCCCAACCTGGTAACAAAAAAGCATAGTTTTAAAGTGTTAAACAAACTTGTCAGTCCCAAAGAGGTCGTGTCTGGCTTTGGCACTCCGAGCACATCACCCGAAAAGACCCAGGGAAGAGGCCAGGGTCTTTTCACAGGAGCTACCTATCTGGAGTCTGAACATACTTTAGACATTGACACCGCCCCACCTGGATGTCCAAACATCTCCATCAAGCAAAAGTTAATCAGTTGAGATGGCGGAAATTCCAAGCACTTCCCCTGATCGACGGCTGAACAATGTCGCCCACCCCGGCGCCACAGAATGCTTTTCTGCACCGCTCGGACGCGGGGCGTTTCCGGCGTGCTGAGCGGTTCTGCGAGACGGTTCGATCAATCAAATATTCAATCCAATGGTGCGAATGGGGGTATATGACTGGTGCAGGATGGTGCAGGGGTCTGCAGTATGTGGAGTGAACTCTTGCATTGTTGGCAGGAACGCCACAAAGGGTCCCTTACAGTTTACTGGGAAGCTGGCGAAAGCCAAACCTCAAGACTCCTCAATTCCCGGTCATGAATGTAGGTATCATCCCATATCTGGGGACCATGACTGTCAAGCCTTTAGCACTGTTGTCGTTTTCATCCGTCAACCAGGAACTATAGTTGGTGCTAACAAAACCACTCTTCCAGCAGGATTGATCCCACGGACGAAGGTCGCCCCGCCGTCCCGAAGCAAGGCTCAGCAAGGCGCCCGGAAAGCACGCAATCGTCCAAGTTCCGGAAGGTACATAAGGAAACGTTGATCGTACGTAATGTTCGTACCCAAGGTTTAATTGGCCAGCAATGACCAGTGACGTCACACATGCATGAGAACATACGCAGTAGACACATTGTGTATATTATATATTATATACGCATGCACCAGCCATGGTTAGGAGGGAGCCAAGGAACAGCGCTTGCCAGTATATCAAGTAAGCTTTGTGTTCGGAATCCACCTTTGGGACATGAATCTTGAATTCCCACTTCGCTGGGCGCTGAAATCTGTTGAAACCACTTGTGCCTGAAGTTCCATTGTTTTTTCCCCAGTTTGGAGGCTTGTAGGCCCTTGTAGGCTTGTGCCTCCGACACATATCTTTTGCTCTTTTGGCGACCCAGTTGGCATCTGATCTCATCCACTAAATGAACTAAAACACCCTGAAAACCCTCCGAAACTCCGAAGCCAGCGATGGCGGTTGCGGCGGCGCCGTTCGGCGCCGGCGCACCGAAGCCCGGGCTCACTGCGAGCTCCTCAGGTGTGTGGGGACGGTGTGATAGAAGGGAAGGCTGGGCCTGAAGAGGGGGCAGTTCGCCTCGTGAGTCTTTCCACAAAAAACAAGGAGCAAGTTGGGAGGGGAAGCGAAGGGACCCAGCAGTGAAGAAAAATTCCCAAGGTTTGCACCATCCATCTACCGTGGTCTATGGGTTTGCACATGTTTGCGCCATCATCTGCTCCTCTAACCGCTGCATGATAAATGGGAGCCCAAAACGATTTACTTTAAATGACCCGAGTCCAGGAATTTGTTGGTCTTTTGGCTTCATAGGGTCATAGGGTGAGAGTTGATCGCCCCTGCAGCCAAAGGATCTCGGACAAGAAGGTCATGACTGGAGGCGTTTCCACAACCTGGTCGTCGCTGCTGTGGGCACTAAACTAGACCGCACCACTCTTCCGTGGAAGCAGCTCTCAAACGAAAACACCGGCTTACCAGCAACCACACACACACACCGCCCCAAGCACCACAGTCACATGCCAATTTCTGAAGGAAAATACGAAGGATTCCGAAGGTCTAATGCATATGACACCTAACTTGTAACTTCTGGTCTTGTCGGAAGGGACGAGGCCTCGACAGGTCTGTTACACACGCAAAGGCTGACACTAACATGATACAACATGATGACAACTGATGCATCACGAAATGGTCCATGTTATCCACTGAAGGGTGGGTGAAGGTGGACAATGGTCTCAAACCTTCTTGGGAGCAACGCGGGACTCCGAAGACTTGGACCGCCTCCGGCACAACTAGCCACAGTATCTTGGATGTGCGCTCCAATCCAGGAACGAGTGTAACACATCTTCACCAGGTTTGGGGATTTGCCCATATGGGGGAACATCATGGAACATCAAGCATCTTCAGCAAACCCTCAGGGTGTTGTCCATCGTTAGTCCGCATGCCGGCAAGCGTCGTATGTTCCATCCACCGCCGATGTGGAGCGCCCGGCGCCGCCGCGGAGCCCTGGGGCGGGGCGGGGCGCTTTGACCTGGAGGTCGGTTCTATTAGTTCTCCTGGCTTTCTTTGGTGGGTTGCATAGTGAATTGAGCTGCTTCTTTGGGGGGGGGCGATTTTTCATGAAGATGGACATGAACAGCTCAAAAGGAGGGCGGAGATAGAGACAAAGGAAACAACATGCAAAAAGTACAAGGGCCGTATATAAGGGCCCAAAAAATGAAAAGTTGCTTTCCTTATAACTGCAGTAATCATATGGCAAGCAATCTAGCCTTGACACGAAGCAATTGACAGGTTGTGAGAGTTGGCGTTGATTCTTCACTACCCTGTGGAACCAATAATATGAACAAAGCAAACTGGTGGCATTGTGGTTCTATGATGCTCTATAACCAAATGTTCGGAGTCCCGTGAGCATGTCCTGTTCGGGTCAAAATATTGGCGCACAAAAAATTATGGTCAAATGGTTATCTGTGAAGGCCACAAGCCCCTCCCCAAAACTTTGAGTTATGGACTTCTAGATCCTCCAAAACGATGATTTGAGGGGGGTATCCGGAGGTAATCTCCAGACTTAGTGACAAAGGCAGTATCTTCACTGCATGGTGCTGGTTCGAAATCAGGCTCTGGATGAGTAGCTCCCCAACTTCCGCCTTCAGAAGAGTCATCAGTGGATTCGCCTAGGTTGAAGGAAGCCATCTGGGAAATTGCTCCAAGTGTGACCCGAACAGGGAGGCCGACAAGGACCCCTTGGAACATATATGTGAACATCACATAAGCCAGTATCATATAACAAACTAGTGGGTTTTGTTGAGTATCCCAGATTCATATATCCGCCCCATTTTTTCTTTGATGGGAGCCTTACTCCAACGCGGACTTGGTGCCGACTCGTTGAACGTCTTGCACTTGAATGTCTTGCACTTGGACGTCTGATATGTGCATATTCTTGAGGTGAGGGGCGTCCTCAAAGAAGACAACACGTCGCCGACGGTCGTTTGTTTTACATCGATGGACCGTTTCACGATGAAAGCGCGCGGCTGCGACATGGAACCTTTCCTCATGGTTCCTGCGGAACCAACCCCCTCCCTCTGTTTTCTGGTGAACATGTTGCGCCTCAGTCGAATCTTCAAATCAGAACAATCTGGTTTGCAAGTCTGGTTCCGCACCTTCATTCGGTCTCACCGACCCTAGCGGATTCTTGTTTCGGCTCCGGCCCGGTGGAGCGGAGCTCGCGCCAAACGCCCCGCGGCTGGTGGCTTCGCTTGGGGCTCCCAAGCTCAGCATCGACGTGGAGGGCGCACCTCGTTGGGAGGGCGATGGGAGCGGAGGTGTGATAGATGTTGACAGTGGCTCTGGGTCAATCTTTCGGGGGACCTCGGGGTTGAGCAGGGAAAATTGACATAGAGTTACAAGTGATAATGTTGGATCCTGATTAGTAAAGGGGGGGTCCCCCCCCCTCCCTCAAACAAATAGGGGACCTTCTATAATAAACTACCACCAAAACAAATCTGGATTCCTGTGAGAATTCCTTTTTGTAATTGATTGTAGTATTAATTTTCCTTTCATAGATTGTATATCAGCTGGTGAATCATAATCATTGGCCTCAGGAGCTAAGTAAAGGAAGATTCCATGAGCAATTTTGTCCAGTGGAAAAAACTTTTCACAATTGAGAACCACTAAAACAAATCTATTATTGA